AACTACTAACAATTTACCGAGGTACTACTAACGAATGTTAACGCAGCAAGAAAGCATCTCTGTCTCCTTTAATTTCTCTCTATATATGCAGCATTAATAAACGGTTACTATCCATCGTAGAGGAATAACTAACCTGTCGATATTCACCGTTCCCCTGTTGTATAGTAATTAAAAAATCATACAGCCCCGCTATCAAAGTGAGCTCAACTTTGACGAGATTTCGAGTATAGTATGCATAGAATATAACGAAGCCTTTCAGACGAGAGATAAGGGCAAGGTAGGATGGGCGCTTTGTTAAAACGAGCAAATCGGAGTACGGTTAACATTCCGCTAGGTGTGGATTTTTCGAAAATTTCCCGTGTGCCGTTTCCTCGGGTGCCGTTTAATGAAACGCGAATGACACGGGTAAAATCTTAAAAGGCAAGCTTCCTTTATAAGCACCGTTCATCCGCCGAAACTTCACCAGCAATCCTACCGCGTTTCAGGTAAATTTCACCGGATTGCCTTTACTTTACTCCGGTTTAATTCCTCTTCTTCCGTTAACTGTTGCATTCGAGGGAAAATTCTCCTTCGTCGAGATTTACCTTTTGTTAAATCTTTCGGGTAAACAAAATGTAACCGGAGACGTTCGTCGTTGATAGTGTTCACGTTGGAGTAGCGAGTTAACTTAAGTGCGCGAGTTAGTTAAAGTCGTATGTACGGACGAGTCTAAAGATAAAGCACGGTTAGACGTTGATTATTTGGACAGATTGTCTTAATTCTCTGCCGTTGGATATAAATGACGGCTGTTTCAACCGGAGAGATTTTCTGTCCCGTTGAACGCGAAGGGTGCCTAACCATCGTCAAACCTTAATTACATCCGAGGATAGGAGACAGGTTGCTGCGTTCATTGAAATCACGACGAATCGCCCGATCTACCTTTGCCTTTCTTTTTCTCGGGTCCCGTTCATCTCGAACAACTTTTCCACTCTCGTTATCCCATCGGCTTATTCGGTAAATAATTATTCTGTCACATAGGAGAGTAATTTCAGCTTACGTCGCGACCGATTCAAAGGCGTTCAAAGTTTTCTCACACCCTTTTTCCGTTTCCGCTATATTTTATCCGCGCGCGGATGCAATTTATTCCTTTGTCAAAGCTTTTGCTCCTGACAGGGTTCATCAGTCTTTGCGATAGTCCACGACACGAGAGAACCGTTTGCCATTTTTCCAACTTGAAGTTCTTTTCCCTTTCCGCGACATCATGAAGCAAGTGTAAATGTTATTCGATGGCAAGTACCATTGGTTACATAAAAATGAATATTTCCTCGGTGAAGTCGCATGCGCGCATACTAACGGTGCTTGAAAAGGTTAAAATCCTCCGGTAAATTGGTTGTCACCGAGAAAAACCAAGTCCATTAAGCGTGCGTTTTCTCGATGTGCCGACGTTAATCTTTCCCCGACGGGCTAAATTCCCCGAGTAAAACCGATTGACGCCGAAATCTCAGCCGTAAATCGCAAATTTAGGAGCGTTACGGTCATGTGCGCCTCGGCGTGGGACCGCCTTTATCGCGTTTTATTTTCTCCGCTGCCACATTATTGAAACGGTTCCCTCCGCCATTATACACTACCAAACTACGTTCGAGCCCGATAAAAAATGTTTCCCAATGCCTGTTGCCTGCTTTACGCTTCACCTATATTACTCCCACGAGCACCGTCGATTTTGCGAAACGCGAAAACCGTGTTTTCACTCGTTGCACTTCCAACGGACCTTACCGAAGCATCCTCGACTCGACGAAGCACTTTGAAAAAAAAAAAAAAACGAGGTAAAAAGTCATCGCGGTGTTTCGAAATTTTCGGATACGAACGGTCGAACGTGAAATCATTTTCCAAATCACGCCGGACAGCGATAGTGTTTGAAATCGTAATCTAATGAACGTCCATATGCACGGGCATGCACAACGGAGTAAATGGAGTAAATTCCTCTGTTTTAGCGATTCACCGATTGAATAATTTGCCGTGATATAGTGAATTTGGCGGTACCTTCTGAAATGCACCAACGTAGCTCTGATTTACGAAATAGAGTTTCGCACACGCTATTTCATTTTACGAAATTCGCGATAATCATTGCGCAATTATCAAATTCGAAATATTGCGAATTCCACGAAGCCATTGTAAATACAACTATTTAATACGATTAATTTTATTACAAATGAATTTAAACGCAACTGTTTCATTATAGATAAAAGCGATTATTCCGCGAGCAGTTTATCGTACGATACGCATTTATTCATACGATTATCTCTTTTCGTTTTCGGAGAAATCCGGACAAAGAATATTATCCCTGCTTTATTGTGCGCAGATCTCTAATTACCAGACTTTTCTTTTTTATTCGTCGTGCCCTTTGAAACAACAGAAAATTAGCTCACATACGTATCCCGGAATTACGCGTTACTTTCGGATAGTTGACACAAAGAATAAATTTTTAACGGTTGGGACACGAAGATCGATTAACGAATGATCAAGTCAGGCAGTTACGTATTAATTACATTAACGTCGTCCGGTATATTTCGATAATAAATGAGTTTACATGGACATTTTAATGACATTCAGAGGGGATCATCTGTGCAGTTATTCCGTTCAGAGATGGACGTTTCACTTTTAGCATGTTCGAGTGAGGGCAAAGAAAGAAAAGAAACAAAAGGGTGAGAAAGAAAGTACGATATTACGACGTGCTCACCTGGCTGGATCGCGACGCATTAACCCGCATTTCCAGAAGCGTGCATTTGCATATCGCGAAACCATGACATAATTACTTGATTCTCGCGGTGACTAACAATCACAATTAGCGCGTGCGAACTATGGGAATCGCGGGAATGTACGTAAAAGGAATCAGAGCCTCTGTTCGCGATTTCTCTTCTATGCAGTTTGTCCTTTTTTTCATCGTTTCCAGAATGCCTTCAATTGCATTCTTCCCGGCTTCCGATAATTTCAAGGAGAGCGGTCGCACAACCGATAGCCGTTTACAACAAGCGGTTAGAATTCGCGACACGGAAACTTTTGCCGCTGTTAATCTTAGCCAATAACGAGAAACGAACAAGTCCTACGGCGCTTTTGATCATTGGAATCCTTTGCGTCGCGTCTGTTACCAGACCAAGTTTCGCATCTATTTGTACAAAGCTTCCGGAAACTATATACGTATGTACAGTCTCGTATCACTTACGCTTAAAGGAGATCAGCTCTTCCACTTGTTTCCCTTGGAATAGATGGAACAACATTTCTCTGTAATATTCGATGCTGTAAACGTCTCTCGGTTCACTCGTGGAATAGAATCGCGAGTAATTCGGTCATTTCTCATGGACATCGGAGGATGTCGCTTTATTGGTTCAGTTATCACGAGCTCGTCCTTTCGAAAGGCTTAATTTTTCATTAGAACGACCCGCTCTTAGTTCCCAGCAGGTAATTACAACTTTGCTCCTAGCTTTAATTTCTCATCGTAGGCGTAGAACGATTCCCTTGGCAGTCGACATGTGATACGGGGGTCGCATCTGAGATCGTTTGCCCTCCTAAAGTCTCTCTCTCCTTCTTTCTTTTCCTCTCTTTCTGTTTCGAGAAAAAAAAAGAAAAAACCGTTCAGGGTAGATCGTTCCCCTTTCTTTGTTCCTTATAGAAATATCGTGGCGTTTTTCTTTCGACGACGGTTCCCGCGTAGTCAGCCACGATCGAATTGATCTTCAAGGTGCAATCGCTGTTCGTGTCACTTCCGATCAGAGATCGTAAGAATGATTCCTGTTCGTGAAGCTAGGTTAATCGAGTTTTTGTCCGCGATAAGGATCGCTCCGCCGAATTCCTTTCACCGTCATGCCTTGCATCCGATGCCTCGACCTTTACTTCTTCTCTCGCTTCGAGAGCGTCTCCGATTAATCTTTAGAAAAATCCAATTTTCTCGCTTTACGTTACGTTCTTCCGAGCGATGTAAACTGTGTCTTAGCAGAATACGATGTTGTAATTAGACTTTCCACGGACACTCGATAAACTAGTCGGAAATATTTTTTCTACGGTCTGTTTGTACTCTCG